GTCCGTAGTCGAGGAAATAAAGAATATGTTCTAGTTATTGTTGATGACTTTTCAAGATTTACATGGACTATCTTTCTTGCTAGCAAGAAAGATACTTTTAATGAGTTTGCTATTTTTGTAAGGAAAATTGAGCATCAAACAGGTCTACAACTAATCAAGATCCGATCGGATCATGGAACTGAGTTTGACAATTCTCTCTTCGATGCCTTCTGCAAAGAATGAGGGATAGACCACAACTTCTCCGCACCTAGAACTCCACAACAGAACGGAGTGGTAGAACGGAAGAATAGAACTCTGGAGGACATGACTAGAACTATGCTTATTTCCAGTGGTCTAGCTAGGAGTTTTTGGGCAGAGGCTCTAAACACAGCATGCTACATCATTAATCGAGCTATGATACGTCCACTCCTAGGGAAAACACCCTACGAACTGTTCAAGGGGAGGAAGCCCAACATAAGTCATCTAAGAACTTTTGGGTGCAAATGTTTCGTCCACAACAATGGGAAAGACAACATCGGCAAATTTGATGCTAGAAGTGACGAGGCAATCTTTCTCAGATATTCCCCACATAGCAAGGCCTACAAAGTTCTAAACAAACGCACACAATGTGTGGAGGAAAGCATTCATGTAATCTTTGATGAAGCACTTGCCCCAAAATCAATCCAAGCGGATGATGGTGAGCTAGGGATCACTCGCAAGAAATCACAATCTCAAGGAGATGAAGGAACTGACAATCAAACTGGTGAACCACCTCTAACAAATGAAAATGAACAATTTGGAACTGAAGAAGAACCTGGACAGAACACTGACACTGGACCTGTAGAACCGGTAGAACCAGTTTCAGATACTCTCAACAACTTGGTGGACCAACCCAACGCTCCTAGGGGTTGGAAGCTTCATAGATCACATCCGCTGGATAACCTCCTCACTGATCTGAATCAGGGAGTAACAACTAGATCTAAACTTAAAAATTTTTGTGCTTTCTCTGCTTATTTATCACTTATAGAACCGGAGAACCATGAAGTGGCTCTCTCCGACACTGACTGGGTTCTAGCTATGCAGGAAGAACTAAATCAGTTTGAAAGAAATAAGGTGTGGCATCTAGAACCAAGACCCAAGAACAAGACCGTGATAGGTCTCAAGTGGGTATTCAAGAACAAGCTCGATGAACATGGTCAAATCACAAGGAACAAAGCTAGGCTTGTTGTCAAAGGTTATAACCAACAAGAAGGAATAGACTTCAACGAAACATTTGCACCGGTGGCTAGATTAGAAGCAATCCGAATGCTCATTGCATTTGCGGCTCATATGGGTTTCACCCTCCACCAAATGGATGTCAAGACGGCCTTCTTGAATGGATATCTAAAGGAAGAGGTATATGTAGAACAACCACCGGGGTTTGAAAATCAAGATTTTCCTAATCAAATTAGATAAAGCACTTTATGGCCTCAAACAAGCACCTCGTGCTTGGTATGAACGCCTATCTAAATTTCTTTTGGAAAACAATTTTGAAAGAGGAAAAATAGATAAAACTCTTTTTCTAAAAATAAAAGATCAAGCCCTATTGATTGTTCAAGTTTATGTTGATGATATTATTTTTGGTGCTACTAACGATTCTCTTTGTGATGAGTTTTCTTCTCTTATGAGCCCCGAATTTGAGATGAGTATGATGGGGGAACTAAATTTCTTCCTTGGTCTACAAATCAAGTAAACAAGCAAAGGAACTCAAATACCTCAACAAAAGTATCTCAAGGAACTACTAAAGAAGTACGGGATGAGTGGAGGCAAAACCATGACTACACCTATGGGAACAAATGATAGGCTGGATGCAGATGAACAAGGGAAGAACATAGACCAAAACATGTATCGAGGGATGATTGGGTCCCTACTGTATCTCACTGCCAGTAGACCCGACATAGTTTTTAGCGTAGGTCTATGTGCACGGTTCCAGACCAATCCCAAGGAGTCCCATCTCAAAGCTGTGAAGAGAATTTTCAAATACCTCAAAGTAACTACTAATCTATGTTTATGGTATTCTCGTAATGATGATTTTAACCTTATTGCATATTCAGACTCTGATTTTGCAGGTGATTTGCTAAATAGAAAAAGTACGTCTGGAACGGCTCACTTCCTAGGTCCCTGTCTAGTTTCTTGGAGCTCAAAGAAACAAAATTCAGTTGCTCTTTCAACAGCCGAAGCTGAGTATGTAGCAGCCGCATCTTGTTGCTCTCAATCATTGTGGATCATGCAACAAGTAAGCGATTATGGGGTTGATTTAAAGTGCACACCCATCCTATGCGATAATACAAGTGCAATTAACATATCAAAGGACCCGGTCATGCATTCTCGGACAAAACATATTCATATACGACATCACTTTCTGAGAGATTGCGTGGAAAAGGGGATAATCAGGCTGGAATATTGCAACACCGAGAAACAAATAGCTGATATCTTTACCAAGCCTCTGGGAAGAGAAAGGTTTGAACTAATTAGACTGGAACTCGGTCTAATTAATTCCTAAATTATTTGTTCTACTTCTTATTTCCTAAATAATGGAAATCACTGGAACTAATCACTTTTACTAGTTGCGAAGAAAGCATGCAGGACCTTCTGGCCTCATCTAAGGGGGAACAAATCGATATTTTAATTTGGTCATTAATTTTATTCCTTTTGTTGAATGACAAAAGGGGGAAAAATTAGGGACACCTTTATTATAGCACCTAATGTTTGTCATCAACAAAAAGGGGGAATTTGTTGAGTATGTGGTTTTGTTGATGACTAACCATGCAGGTGGAACGGGGGACAGAACCGACTACGGAGAGTTCTAATATGAACTCTGGACAGAACAGTTCCACAGTTCCTTAACCATGTGGTGTATACATGATATGCGTGGATTGACTTGCATGCATAAAGTGATTTTTATGAGTTATTCTTTATGGAAAGAAATCCTTCCTTTATGATATTAGTGTGCTTACACGTAGCATAATTTGAATTGGCTTTTTGACTAATGCTTTATGGAGAGAATCCCCACTTGCATGATTTAAGATTTAATCTTGCATGAATATATTGACTTTTATAAATCAACCTTTATGGAAGGAATCCTTGGTGATAAATGCTTTGGTGACCGTAGCATGATCTGCACTCCTTTGTAATCTGAAAAGGTTCATCATTAAGTAAAAGATTAATTTAATATCTTTTATGGAAAGGCTTTTTAATGATTGCATCCACTTGGAAAAGGAAAATGTTTTTAAGAGAATCCTATTATTGCCAATAGGCCGTTGGATCCTTGCTCTTGATAAGAATAATTCCCTAGCTTTTAAAGAGTTGACCAAAGCTTACCTTATTTGGAAATAAATTCAAAAACTTGGAATATCCCCACCTTAATTAACCTCACATGATTTGATTGAGTTGTTTATACACTTGGTACGTGATTAATATGTTACCTTGATATTTTGGGTGTTTGATTGGTTTATATATATCAAGCTCAGATTTGGGAAATATTATGAAGGAAAGTAATTCAAAATATCAAGGCAAGTCTCAAGATTAGGAGATCAACTATTCAAGGAGGATTACTAAAACGGTCTGCTCAAGACAGCCTATATAAACGAACCAGCCAAAGAGAAATATAAGGAGCTGAACCGAGAAAAATACTTAGAAGAATCATTCAAGAAAAGGATCAAGTCCTTGGTGCCTGAAACTGCCCGCTCGGAGTTCTAGATAGAGTTTTCTTTTCCCTTTCATATTGTACTTGGAATATTGAGACTTAATTGGCTAGAGTAGCTGCCTCGGGTTAAGTGTGTGTGAGAGCTTTGTGATAAAGCTGAGAGGCTCTCTACCCGCAAGGTAGAGATGCATAACTCTTCCTAGAGAGCATAGAGTTGGGAAGGCTCAAGGGGTAGATTAGGAGAATCTCTCTTGTAACTCTTTCAAAGGCTTGTTTAGTGAAGTTGTTTAAAATTCCTCCGAGGGAGGTCGAGGTTTTTTAATCCCTTTGAGCCAAGGGATTTTTCCTCGTTAAATTCTTGTGCACTTTACTATTTCGCAATTCCCTTTATCCCACACTAGAACTCGGCGAAAAACTGCCACGGTTCCACACACACACAATTCACCTTCCTCTTGTGTTGCTAACCGTTTTCATCAAATATCATGACATAATTAATCAAATTCATTATAAATATGGTATCCTCAATTTTTATGGGTACCATAGCAGCATTCACCTTAAACAAATCATAATTTTATCTTACTAACTTCTATGGGATTCTTTTCTTCTATATTTTTTTTGCAGATTGTTTTCTTCTATATAATCTCATGGAATTGAAAGTTTGTCATATTCTTTAACATTAATTGTCATCATCATAAGAAGTTACTTAATTTAGTGTTATAATTAATTAAATATTACTTAAGTATTAGTACCATACCAAAGCAAATTATATATGGTACCCTTAAGGTACTCTACTTTGTCCACATGGATCAATTAGAATTTTGTAATTCAATAATTTAAGATGAGTGTTCCGAATTTCCGATATATCATAAATAAATGAGTGTCGTCCCTACAATACATTTGAGTGGTTCATATCATTAATTATATATCTTATCATTTATTAATATTGAAATCGTTCAATCGTAATATTGTAATTTGTTCACATAGGTAGGTACGGTAGTAGCTAGCTTTGGAAATACCGTATAATTTATCATAGTTTAAAGATCAATAATGAGGAAAAAATGACTTGGACCAAACAAATGTATTATACATACGGTATACTCAATTTTTTATGGGTACCATATTCACCTTAAACAAATTATAAATGTATTTGCATAACTTTTATGGGCCGGGATTCTTTTCTTCTATATAACCTCATCGAATTGATATTTTGTCATATTATGTAACATTAATTGTCATCATGATAACAAGTTATACTTTAACCATACTTCAAGGCATCTTTATATCGATTGATATATAAACGTAACATGTAACGTAACATTCCTCAGAAATCTGTGAAGTTTTCGTATAACCTTTAAGAGTTGAAGCCGCGTACAAAAAGGCATATATTTTATACTGTAGCTAATTAAGTCTTAATTAGTTCCGTTTTACATTAATTTTGTAATAGTTTACACCAATTTTAGTGAATAGTGAAAACTATGAGAAATTGGTTTTCTACGCTCTATCCATTTAGAAAGAAGATCAATGAAAAATATACGATTTTCCATGACCAAGTGGTCGGGCGTGGATCCTTTGGGGTTGTATGTGCATGCATAGATATGTCTTCTGGTGAGAAATTGGCTTGCAAGATTATATCTAAAATAGGGTTGAGTGACGAATATGTTGAACGTGTGAGGAGAGAGATTGCGATCTTGAGGCATTTAAAGAATCATTCAAACATTCTCTGTATAAAAGACAGTTGGGAAGATGACGATGCACTGCACATTGTAACGGAGTTGTTGAAGGGGAAGACATTATTTGACTATATTGTAGATATGGTACCGCTAACGGAGAAAGAGGCTTCAACAATTATTATGGCTCTTGTGGAAATCATTCAGGTACATAATAATAAAGCACAAATCATTCTTTCTGTATGACTCATAGTGAAAATCGCGTCAAAAAATGCATGTAGTAATTGCTGTTTCATAACAAAGTAACATATACAATTTAGTGAGTCATTCTGCTTTATTCTATCGTATTCCTCGAAATTTTATAACATTAGCACTAATGAAGGAAATTAGAGGAAAAGAGAGAGAAAGTTCAAAGGGTTGTGCTCTTTTCTTATTAACTTTAAAATATTTTAAAAGTAACGAAGAATTACATTTCGTCGGAATTTTCTCTCACTATAAATAAAGTGCGGAGTAAGAGAATATGTATGCAACTTAAGAATGTTAGTTAATACGAAGTATGATTTTTAAACTTTTTTTTGAAACTTTTTAGTTAATAAAGTGCGGAATTTTTAAACTTTTTTTTAAAGTTAAGAATGTTAAAACTTAACATGTACTCCCTCCGTCCCATTTATATTGTCCCGGAAGAGGGTGTCACAGTTATTAAGAAAAGTGGGTTTGTGTGGTTGATATTAATTGATAAAGTAAGAATAAAGTAAGAATGATTTAGAGTCACACAAACATTGCCAAATATGGTATGAGACAATATAAGTGGGACTTCCCGAAAAGGTAAAACGTGACAAAATAAATGGGACGGAGGGAGTATGCATGTATTCGACTTCTTATTACGATGTTTAAACTTAAGAATGTTAGTTATTATGATTTTTAAACTTCTATTTTCCATAAAATTGATAAATATCATCCATACGAAATTCATTTGCTAGAGTTATATAAACCAAAAGAACTCATTCATAAAAAGTCTATTAATTTAAAATTTTACTTTGTATATTTTTTTAAAAAACACACTGATTAAAAAAATCTAATTATCAAAAATCCATAACTCATTTACAATACACCTCTTATATTTTTTTTAAAAGATGCTTACATGTTTGTTTTTTACAATGCAGGTGTTGCACAACAACGGGGTGATACATCGTGATATCAAACTTGAAAATTTTATGTTTGGTGGAATCACTAATAACATTGCTACATTAAAGGTCATTGATTTTGGGATATCTGTTTTCTACAAACCAGGTGAGTTACCATTAGTTATGAAGAGGGAAGGGCACGGATGAGAATCATTGATTTTTTTAGAATCGCTAAACATAAACGCTCATATTCCTAGCGTTTGAGGTTTTGGCGTTTCGGGCCAATAAGTCAAATTAAAAAGTCATTTGCCAAACAATTAAAAATGGCGTTTTGACGGGACGTCAAAAAAGCTGAATTTGGTCAAACCCGCCAATTTTTTGCTGAAATGCCATTTACCAAACATGACCAATATAATTAAGGCTGGTTAAATATGGGGCACAAAAGTAAAAATTGGGAAACCGAAGAAATAATGACTAATATTAAAACTTTTGAATAAGAATAATTAGTTTAGAAAAAGTATAAATTAACCTATGTAATATTTTATTCATTTGAAATACCTGAACTTTCCCAACATTTAGTATTAACGTTACTACTTACTAGCATTAACATGTTTGTGACCAGTGTGTATTAATCCAATTTTTAATTAACATGAGTCATATTATTGTTTAATAGTATGTAGTAATTCTCTTATTTCTAATGTTTGTAATATACTTGTGATATGTGAGGAAGTTTTTACATATTATAGTCTAGCTTGTTATTTCGGCGAGTGTTTAGTATACTTGGCTGGGATATACTCTTATACTTCGTATATTATTGTAATTTGTAACATTTATTTTTGTATTTTACTTCTTATGCAATATAATTTTAGTTATATAATGTGTAGGTGTATTTGAAATTTTTGGCCCCCTAAATTGAAAATTGGACAAATGATCAAGGATCGAAACCCGCACCGACCATATGGAGGTCACAGACTCACAGCTCCTATGTATTGGGCTGATGTAATCATCAGCTAGATATAAGGTCTATCACCATTATAATTGGTTGAGTCGCCGTGATTTACAACCTCCCATGTGCTCTGTCGGGTCAGGGCGTGGGGGGCCCTTGGGGATTGGGGATTCAACCTTTTGCACTAGACTAAGAGCATCCCCAATGGGGATGTCTACTTTCTTTACACACTCTTACACATGGTCCCATTTTTTATCTCACAAATTTTATGTGTAGGACCTACATATATTTTATTTTTCATTTTTCTATATCACTTTTAACCCATTTTTCATCCACAGTTACTCATCGATTCCCGTGTAAAGTCTATTGTGGACATTGTCATAGACATTCTCTACCATTTATTCCTCCTTTTCATTTCTCATACACACCACTTTCTTCATATTAAATTAAAATAATCATTCTATCTCTATCTCTAATGGCACTTTTTCATGTTTTCTAGGTGATACCTGTAAACTTAGTTCCTGCAGTCGATACTATGTGGCTCCGGAAGTTTTAAAAGACAATGATCAGGATCCAAAGGTTGACATTTGGGCCGCTGGGGTCATACTCCACATTCTTTTATGTGGTATACCTCCTTTCATACAAGGTATGGTAGTGGTCTTAATAGTACTCCTACATAATTAAAGGCAAACACTCTCAATTAAAGGGCGTGATATGCAATTAGCGATTTACAGATTACATTAGCTGATGATTGTTGATGATGACAATTCTATCGTTAGATTGACTAGCGGAATGAGTTTATGAGTTGGATAGACATGTTTGACAATTTAGTTGTTTCGTCCTAGTACGTTGTTAGTAGATAATCTATCTTCTATTTCAAAACGCGAAATCAAACACAATACTATTTGCGATATTTTTATTCTAGTGATTCCTTCCAAGTTTCAATAATGCACTAAATAGTACTACCTTCATCACACTATGCTTGGGACAAGAGAGTGCGACACAACTTTTAAGAAAATGTGGAATTGTCTAGTTGATATTGAATTGATAAAGTATGAGTAATAAAGTAACAGACGAAAAAAGTAATAAGAATAAACTAAATGGAACGTACGAAAAAAAGTAAAACTAGACAAAGTTAAAAAGACGGAGGGAATAAATAGTTATTTACTTAACAATATGGGTAAGCATTTTCTTGAAAACATCAAAAAGGTCAAACCTGCTATCTTACGACGGAAATGTCATTTTACAAATACACCCAAACTCCATGTTTTGGCTACATATTTTCATATCATATTTACATATTTTTTATCTATTCCAAATTTAAATTTCTTCTTTGCTGTCAAGATCCTCAAACTAAATCGATTTTAACCGCTAACATTTACGAGTTACTAGTATATTATAAAATCTACCGAATATAATAAATTAGCACTTCAATAATAGATACTTGTCTGGTCTTCTGGTAAAGGTCTGATCTCTGTGTATTTTATAACTATCCAAGTCTGGTCTAGTCTAATCTGGTCTGGTCTGGTCTGATCTGAACTGGTCTCTCTAGTCTGAGACTGAAAACAATCAAAGTAAAAACATCCTAACACAAATTGTTCAAAATTAATTATTTGCATGTTTTTTTTATCGAAGGGGGCTTAAATTAATAAAATAACATTCAGCAGGGGTACAGGATAACAAAAGGATCACATGTAACCATCCGCCCTTGACCGAGACTCTGAGTTAATCACCTTTGACAAAGCAATATAACTAGCTAGACCTAATTTGGGCAACATCAAACCAATGACGATTATCGTAGATCTCTCATCCCCCAAACCTAATACAAGAGTCTTACAGCAAAGGAAAAATAAAAGTAAAACAGAACAGTTTGACCATGGAAATAAAAATAGCAAGCAAACAATAAAATTAAAATATTGCTTCCAAACCCTAAATTCTCCTGCACTCCATGGTGGCGCTGCGGCGGTTCAGGAGGGGGACGGTCCAACAGTACTGAAGCAACTTCCGCTCCTTGCCTCCGATCCAGATCTGATCCAGCCCCTAGCCTCACGCTTCGTCCATGACCTTTTGATCTCAACCATGAACGACATCCTCGAACCTCTCCACCCTGCTGCTAGGGATACACAATCTTTGGCCGCCATATAGGCGCTGCGATCTGCCGAAGAAGAGAGTCTCACAAAAGGCGGACGAAAGGCGCACAAGAAAGCCGCACTTCGTTGAAAACGAAAGCGGAGAAAACAACCCCTAACCCTAGGGGAGACGACCGCCTTTAATCAAAAAATTACTTCACGAACATTTAGCTAATACCGATCGAAGCAGTCTCTTTCCCATCTTGGTCGCCGATCGAAGCCGATCTTGGCAAACCGCACATGCCGCCTAGAGAAAGAAGACCAATTATGTGCATGTTATAAAATAATATTGTTGTCGAATAACTAGCAGTTGATGTTAACAATATTTGTAAAGGGCGAATTTGAGTTTGCAACTCATTTTATTGTCCAAATTGGACTTTGCACACTGTTTTCAAAAAACATTGTATTTGATCCAGCCCCTAGCCTCACGCTTCGTCCATGACCTTTTGATCTCAACCATGAACGATATCCTCGAACCTCTCCACCCTGCTGCTAGGGATACACAATCTTTGGCCGCCATATAGGCACTGGCGCACTGCGATATGCCGAAGAAGAGAGTCTCACAAAAGGCGGACGAAAGGCGCACAACAAAGCCGCACTTCGTTGAAAATGAAAGCGGAGAAAACAACCCCTAACCCTAGGGGAGACGACCGCCTTTAATTCAAAAATTACTTCACGAACATTTAGCTAATACCGATCGAAGCAGTCTCTTTCCCATCTTGGTCGCCGATCGAAGCCGATCTTGGCAAACCGCACAAGTCGCCGCCTAGAGAAAGAAGACCAATTATTTGCATGTTATAAAATAATATTGTTGTCGAATAACTAGCAGTTGATGTTAACAATATTTGTAAAGGGCGAATTTGAGTTTGCAACTCATTCAAAAAACTTTGTATTTGTACCATAAATTAATTCCATATGAACAGACAAAAATGCCCCTCAATCAGGAATATGTTGAAGGCCAAAAGAATTGTTAATAGATAGGAAATTTTGTCTTTTCATCCGGTGTTGGAATGCAAAAACAAAATTTTTGAAAAAATGGAGTGCAAAGTCTAATTTGGACAATAAAATGGGATGCAAACTCAAATTCTCCATTTATTAAAACATCAAAAAATGAACTTATGTGTGAGGCAACAATAGTAATTAGAAGCACAATTGACATTTATATATTGTTCTCAATTTTATCATGAAAACTCATGTAATCTCGTCCTTAACTCTATTTTTTGGCTTTGGACGGGATTGTGATAGTTTATATATTAACTGATGTTAGAGTATTGAGGATCCATATTATGAAACAAAAAAGAGGGATTAAAGAGTCTTAAGGTAAACACCCTCATGGCCTCATGCTCATTTGCTCAACTATTTTATATCAAGTCGATCTCTCAAATTTCAGATTAGCAGTAGAATCTCAATATCCAAAATAATACATACTACGTACTATCGTAGCATAATACTGAATTAAAGGCAATGCTTTTGCAATTTGCTTCTTTCAATTTATTATCTTTTCTACACTCACGTTTAATGGTTATTTTATCATTCAGGTGATCTAGATGAATTGCGTGAAGCAATTATTCGTGCTGAAGTTTGTTACGAGCGCCCTCCTTGGCCAGACGTTTCTAATGAAGCTAAAGATCTGGTAAAGAAGATGCTTAATCCAAATCCAAGTGAACGACTTACCGCTGATCAAGTTCTTAGTAAGTTTTTTTATTAATTAATAAGGTAGGTTACATTCAAATATTTGAAGGGGTAATTCTCCAAATATGAGTAAATAAAAACTAAATTACACTCGGTAATAAGGAAAAAATAATTTAAACATTTCAAACTTTAAAATGGTGTGAGGTAAGTATCACAAACTTTAAATAAAAACTAGGGAGAATTTGACTTTGCACCCCATTTTTTGGGTGATATTGAACTTTGCACCCCATTGTATAAAAACTTTGAATTTGCACCCCAATTCACTTAAAAATCCTTTGACTTTGCACCTCATTCATTAATTTTTCTTCACAAAATGTTATGTGTTGGGGTGCAAAATCAAAGTTTTTTCAAAATAGGGTGCAAAGTCCGATATCACCCAAAAAGTGGGGTGTTAAGTCAAATTCCCCCTAAAAACTAATGTTAGCACCATGATTAAATACTACGTATGTTTTTTCCTCATATGTATTTTTTATGAGGATGCAATTACAATAAGATTGTACCAGGTGTATTATTATTTATTTCACAAATGAAATTTTATAATGCTAATTTTATTATAAGCAAAATATACAATCAGAGTGCCAAAAATTACGTACTGTATTAAGGCTTAAAGTTACACACTAAAATGTCAATCTAAGATAGTATATACTTCCTCCATTCCATAATTCTTGCAACATTGTGATTTTTACACTATTCACAGATCTTATTTTGATCATGATTTTCTACTAATATACATAATCAAATTATTACGTATAAAATGTTATTGAACTCTTATCAATGTGAATTTCCAAAATATCAATTTTTTATAACATTTACTAATACATAATTAAATATAATTACAGTCAAAATTGTGTATTGGCAACCGTGAAAGTCAAACTGTTGCAAGAATTATAGAACGGAGGATACTAATATATAGAATAAAATGGATAATAGGATAATAGGTGAACAATTAGCTTAGACTGCCTTGCTGACACGGAATGGACTCAGTCGGTCCTAGATTGCTACCTCGACGGAGTGCTCGTCTCAAGGCTAAAAATGGCTAAATCATAGGGTCGCTTCTATCTTTACAGAATCAGCTTTTGGATATTTTGGGGACTCCATCTCTTTCGGTGGCAACTCAATACATTTCGACATGGAACTAATCGCTTTTATTTTAGGGATTTGCAGGACCTTTTTGGATTGTTCACTCTTTAGCGTTTTTGTTTCTTTCATCTTCATTTTGTACTCATCTAATAATTTTTGCTAAAAAAAATCTAAGCTTCATATAATTTGTTTTTTTAAATGTGTTTTGTGTACGTTGAATCACTTTAATGTGTGAAAACTGAAAAGCCCTCTTTATTTGAAGCTAAAGCATTAGCTTTAGGCTTGTTTGCAAACAGTGGCGGATCTAGGCTTTACATTTTGGGTGTTCAGACCTAAGTTAAAATTAAAACAATTGCAATAATCATACTCAATGTTAATTATTACAAACTAAGGGAGTGTTTGCAATTGCTTCAACTTTAAAAAAGTGATTTTTTAAAATGATTTTGGGGAAAGTGATTAATAGTAAAAGTTGGTAGTGTTTGAGAAAAAAGTGATTCTGAAAAAGTAAAAGTTGGTAATGTTTGGTAAAATAAGTACTTTTTGTGTAATAAAAAAAGTGAAAAGCAGTTTAAAGCACCCTTCCACCCGCTTCCAGCTTTTAGCTTTTAAGTGATTAATTTAAACAGAAGCTGTCATTTGAAAACACTATTTTTAGCTTTTTTTAAGACAAAAGCTGAAAAGCGCTTTTTTTAAGCAACCGCAAACACTGTTTAATTCATCAAAAATCATACTATCAAAAAATGTACTAAATTGAATGTCAAACACAATTTCGGTACTGCACTAGCTAGTACCACTATTTAGACCAAAGCGCTAGATTGTGGAATGAACTGACAATTGCCAATTCTAAATTAAATACTAAAGTACCACTTGCGAATGAACTGACAATTGCTAAAATTAAATTAAATGCCAAACACAATTTCGGAAGATCGGAAACGCAGGTTTGGACTTCTACCTTGGGATACGACTGGCTGAGTATACTACATAGTACTAAACGGTGGAAAGTTATGGGTGTTCAGGTGAACACCCTTGAACAATACACCGTCCGCCACTGTTTGCAAACCATTGAAAAAAGCACTTCCCAACTTTTTCCTTAAAAAATACTTATTTTACCAAACACTGCCAATTTTTACTTTTCTCGACTTTCGTGTAGAATCTATTTTTTACTTTTTCTACTACCTAAAAAACACTTATTTTACCAAACACTACCAACTTTTACTACTAATCACTATTTCCAAAAAAGTGTTTTTTTTAAATAGAAGCACTTGCAAACAAAGCCCTCATGCTGCCTTTGACTCTATAATACGGAGTAATTGAATACGCTTATTGCATTTCAAATTAATTTCCTCGATCTTAATTCTTACTACTCTCACAATTAAATCTTTATAGGTCATCCATGGCTACAAAGAGGAGGGCGTCGCTCATTGTATGATCAATCGAACATGAAGGGATTTTATGCACAAGTTAAAAAATGGTTAAGGTGGTGTTTGGATCTACTTCTGGAAATTGCTTCTACTCTTTCAGGGACCAGAAGCAAATATTGGAGTGTTTGAGTGAAAATACAAAAGTTGTTTCTTAATGCTCCGAATTGCTCTTAGACACAGTTTTTTAGAAGTTGAAGAAGGTCAACTTCTATAAAACGAATTCTAATTCTGATTCTGTTTAAAAAAAAAAAAAGCAGAATCAATTTCAACCACTCCTAAGTAGATAAAATCATGTTTGCGATTGTGACAGTCAAGCAACCAAACGAGACTTAAATGTACTCTGTAATACTTAATTTAAAATAAATACCATATGCTTATATTTAATTATAATAATAATCTTTATTATTATGGGAAGTGGCATGCATATACATGAATATTTTTAGGGGGACTGAATTTACATTGAAATAATATCACACACATTCACAAACAGTGAACAGTATTATGAATAATATGTCTATTATTCATCTGGGAGGGCTATCAATTTGGTTATGTCTAGTAATTACTTTCACACTTTTGTTCAATAACAAACTATTACAGAACTTTAAACATTGACTCCTATGTTTGCACTTTAAGTTGAGCATGTTTTACTCCAATAATTTTGGGAGACACTCTTTAACTTATAGCGAGGTAAGATGTTTTAAATTGAGCTGGTTTCCGTTTGGGACGAGATAAGGCCAAATCAGAGTACTTAAACAAACTTGATCATACTAAATCAAACTTTGATAGTTATAAAGTAACATAAAATTAAACAAACAAATATTGGGATTTTGAACGAGATGCGCAGGGGGGTACGAGAAAGGTAATCCATGAGCGACGACACACGAACCACAGCGCCGCCACTAGGCGGCGGCATCCATCCATCAAAATCCTTTGCATCAATTGTGTGTAATAAGACTGGGACTGATCCACCGTTGACAAACGTTACTAAATCCAGATTCAAAGGGATGCCGGCAGTGAGTTTTTCTGAAAGTGGTATCATGATTTTGGCGGAGAAACATAACAGATCTTTGGTTGGGTATTTCTACAAAGGTAGACCAGGTATGAAAAGTTTACGACCTGCTTTTGAGAGAATCGGATTTAAAGGTGGATTTCAACTTGGTTTACTGGAAGAGAAGCATATACTCATACGTTTTGATCTTGAAGAAGATTACGTACGCTGTTGGAACCGCCAAACTTGGGTGATCAATGGATACACAATGAGAGTCACCAAGTGGACTACTGATTTTAAACCTAATGTGGAATCCCCGGTGGTTCCAGTTTGGGTTTCTATGGAAGGATTACCTATACACCTGCAAGATAAGAGGGCTTTGTTCCAAATAGCAAGCCTGATTGGCAGACCTCTCAAAATGGATTCAGCCACCGTAATGCTTTCCAGACCCTCAATTGCAAGATTTTGTGTAGAGCTTGACTTAATGAAGGATTATCCTTCAAAAGTCTGGATTCAATGTGGAGAAACGGGTTTTACACAGGAGGTTATATATGAAGACAAACTGGAGTACTGTCTTCATTGTTTACATTTGGGTCATGATAAATCTAAATGTCCCAAACAAAGGCCTTCAGCGGTCAACAATCACAACAACATACAAGCTATTGTCCCCCAGAAACCAGCCCAAGACAAGAAAGGGAAAAATCAATGGATTGCTAAGAAGACTCATACCACACAATCTACTGAACACTTATCAGCAACAACTACAGACAGGGCACAGAAGGATATCTCAAAGGAAACAAGTGAAAGAGAAAGGACTAAAGATAAAGGGAAAAAGGTAGTAATAATATATGAGAAATCTGCTTCTGATCCTTCCACTTCACTACAAGCTTCAGATTTTGTGGTGATTCAAGAGGTCTTGGATTCTGATTCTGAAGATGAGCCCATTGATCTAAGGGATCTACCTACAAGAAAGCCATTATCTTTATCATTCAGTGATGATCAAGATATCTTAAATGAGCCAAAGCTATTAATTTCAAAGAGTAAGAAGGATTACTCTTCTGATGGAGAAAACATCACTGTTACGCAAACCAGGGATCAATGGATAGAAGAGTTACCTTCCATCTGCAGAAAGGTTAAGAGCATAGTTCAACAAGCAGCAATTCGGAATGAGAAAGAAAAGAATTTAAATGGAATACAAGAAGCCCAATCAAATGAAGAAAGTATAAACATCTCAATACTTGAGGAGCAAGAGACTGAGGATGACAGATTATCCATTCTGGATAATGCTGTTCCAGACCAAACAGAGCTGCAACTCAATGGTTCTGTTTTGGAAGGGGAAAATCCAGAAAATGAAGAATTCATTCCAGCCAAGAAGAAAAAAAGGGGGAGACCTAGGAAAAATGAAAATAATATTGAAGGTAAGGATGAATCTGCTAGTATCATCAAAAGTTCAGCTAGTAAGCTCTCTCAAGCTTTAATTTCTCATGATCAATGATTAATGTCTGATAGAGTTGTATTTTTATCATGTATTATTTCTATTTTAACTAGTTTTATTTGTTGTTGTTTGGAAAATTACACACTTTTGGTGTAATTAGTTAATTTTCTTAGATAGATGTAATTTGTTTAGATTAGGATTATTCTGAGCTTAAAACAGGTCAAAATCATCCAAAGGATCAAGTTTGGACCCCAAAAGATCAAGGAAAGTGCAAGGGGACAAGATCAAAAGAATATTGAAAAAATATTTCATATACCCGGTCGGGTATAGGCAATACCCGATCGGGTATTGAGTTGATTCGGGTGTCAAAATCAGAATCTGGAGAGATCTGGAGAGACAAAAAAACGTGCAGGATTTTGAAGATTTGGCTCATAACCGATCGGGTATGCCTTCATACCCGATAGGGTATGTCTAGAAAAGTGATTTTCCGGGAAACTGCCTAAAATACCCGATCGAGTACCCTATATACCCGGTCGGGTACACCACCCTGCTACCTCCAAACACCTATAAATACACCCCTTTTCCTTCACAATAAGATCACCAATTCCTTTATACTCTTAAGCTCAGTTTAGAATAGAATTTTTCTATATTTCTTTTAGCATGTTTAGTCTCCAAATGAGGAGCTAAACATCCATTTCTTGATTTTGCTCTTGAAGCTTGATTGATTATTAAAGTTGTGAGTTATTTTCTTACTTTCTCCTCTTGATTATTAATTCTTCCCTTAATCTCATTCTATATCATTGTTGGAGGGTGGCTAAGTGACGATTAGTTAACGTTCCAACATTGATTATTACTAGAAACGTTCAACGAACCGATGGTTAAACGTTGAAGGTTTCATAAGTAAGTAACTTCGGTTTATTAATGCACGGTTGTGGTTAATAAACTTAAGAGGGATCCAATTTTGTTGGTTAAACCGAAACCGTTGCGTTGAGGTTATCAATCTTAATTGATTTCATCAAGGAGTTAAAGAGGTTAAAAGCTACTGTTATATCGGTATACGGCGTTATTCTATATTTGATAAATAGTAAGGGTTATTAATGAACGGTCGTTGTTAATAACTACCCTCGATGAATTGGATATACTCCTCGATTGAGTATTCGAGTGGGGATAAGTTATAGATATAACAATGATCGACTAAAATATATCAACAAGTGGAAAGTAGCAAGACCAAGTCCCTTTTATTCTTGAATTTAATCCCATATAACTCGTTCATCTTCGTGTTTAATTTAATTAAATCACTCAACAAACAAAACCCCCCCTTTATTTACTCCTTTCATTAAAAAGATAAATTATTCCTTTCCCTGTGGATACGAACTCTACTTCACCTATACTACGTATAAGTGTTAGTATCGATTTATTTTGAGTGCACACACGACAAAGTGCACGTCAATGCCCTTACTTGGAATGTGTGTGGTCTGGTTTCATCCTGTCCAAGACTTCGTGATAATATCAGAATCAGGAATATCCATCTATTAGTGGTTATAGAACCTATTGTGGCTTTGGCTAGGGCTGATTTATTTAAATTAGAATTGGGTTTTAATAAAATTTACACCTCAGTTATGAATAAAATCTGGATTTTCTGGAATTCAGATATTATTTCTTTGTCAGATTTCACAAGTGGAGAACAGTTTACACATATGAGTATTATCTTTGGAAATTCTAGATTTTGGTTTACTGCTATCTATGGGGCTCACACACATATAGAAAGAAGAATCCTTTGGGCTTACTTAACTTCTTGGTCAAACTCTAATAACGAACCATGGTTTATTGGTGGTGATTTCAATGCTATAGCACAAAATGATGAGCACAAAGGATCTTCTATACCCAATATTGATAGCATGATGGAGTTTAAAGACTATTTAGCTGAAAGCAATCTGATTGATCTTCCCTACCAAGGATGTAAGTTTACCTGGACAGGGGTGAGGAGAAATGGAAGGCTGTGGAGGCGATTGGATAGATATATGTTTAACCCATCTTTCCTTGATTGTTTTGATCACATTCAGGTGGAATGTATGAATAGCTCATCCTCTGATCATAACCCTTTGCTTCTTTCCTACAAAAACAGTTTGTATCAGGGTCCTAGGATGTTTAAATTCCAAAACATGTGGATGTCACATCCATCTTTTTCAGACATACTCAAACAAAGTTGGCAGAAACATACTTTCGGAGGTGGTATGAGGGGAATTTTCTCCAAATTAAAATGTCTGAAAGCTGATCTTAAAGAGTGGAACCAGAAATCATTTGGGAACATTTTTGATGATTTAAAAATTTGTGAAGAGGCTGCCCAGAAAGCTGAAATGGTTTTCCAATTAAATCCTTCCCAAACTAATAGAGAGGATTGGTCTATTAAGCATAGCATGTTAATTGCTAAACATAAACAAGTGTGCATGTTTTGGAAGCAGAAATCTCACATAAAATGGCTAAAAGAAGGTGATGCTAATAGCCATCTTTTCCATTCTTTTGTGAACATTAGAAAGAAGAAACAGTTTATTACCCAAATTGTTAACTCTTCAGGCAACATTTGTGAAGCTCAAGATGCAATTGGATCTTTTTTCGGTCACCCAAGAAGTGGATTTTTCTGATATCCTGCATAATATCCCCAGTTTGGTCAGTCAGGAGGATAATCAAGATCTATTAAAGATTCCTGATATTGAAGAGGTCAAAAGAGCAGTTTGGGCTCTTAACAAAAACAGTGTCTCGGGTCCTGATGGTTATCATGGGAAATTCTTTAGAAAGAATTGGGAAATTGTGGGCAGTGATGTTTTAAAGGTTGTGCAGGATTTTTTCTTGGGTAATCATATTCCTCAAGCTATGGGCAGCTCTCTCATAGTACTGATTCCTAAAAAGGAGAGTCCTACTTCATTTTCTGACTTCAGACCAATATATCTTTCCACATTTATTAGTAAAATCTGCACTAAAGTGTTAGCATCTAGGCTGACATACATCCTACCCAAAATTATCTCAATGGAACAGGCAGGTTTTATGAAAAACAGGGAGATCTCTGATCATATCCTTATTGCTCAAGAGATGATTCACTCTATTGGGAAAAAGATTAGAGGTGGTAATGTGGTGATAAAATTAGACATGGCTAAAGCATTTGACAAGGTTTCTTGGGCTTTTCTTGAGGCTGTTTTGGAGAGATTTGGCTTTAGTGGACATTTCAGACTTCTTATTATGAATTTTCTAAAAAGTACGTCCCTGTCCATTTTGGTCAATGGAGTGGCACATGGCTTTTTCAAACCTCTCAGAGGTGTGAAACAGGGGGATCCATTATCTCCTTTTCTTTTTATTTTGGCATCCGAGGCTTTTTCTAGAGGGAATAAAGCAGCTATGGAAAAGGGCTCTATCAAGCCCTACTGGCTTGGTAAGGAGGGTTTTCCAGTTTCACACCTAAGTTTTGCAGATGATTTACTGATTTTCCTCAATGGTGATGCTAGGTCTATTATGGCCTTTAATAAATTCCTTAAAGATTATCAGAATGCTACTGGTCAAACTGTTAATCTTTCAAAAAGTACCTTTGTTACAACTAAACAGTCTACTGGGAGAATAAAAAAGATGGAAGATCTTCTAGATATGCAGCATTCGAGTCTCCCCTTGAAATATCTTGGCTCTTATCTACATAAAGGGATGAACAGGATTAATTATTGTGAAGATATTATTAAGAAATTTGACAGCAAATTATCATCATGGAAGCAGAAGAATCTCAGTCAAGCAGGGAGATTAATCCTTATCAGACATGTGCTTAATACTATTCCTATTCATTTCATGGCAGTAGACTTTTTTCCAAAGAAAGTTATTAGAATTCTTGAAAAGAAAATTTCTCATTTCTTTTGGGGTTCTAGTTCTGATAAACATCATTATCATTGGAGGAACTGGAAAGAGATGTGCCTTCCTGTTGAAGAGGGAGGGGTTGGTATTAGATTGTTATCAGATATTGAAAAGGCATTTTCTCTCAAATTATGGTGGAAGTGGAAGCAAAATTCTTCTTTATGGGCTAAATTTTGTAATGCTAGGTATGCAAGGAATGGTAACATGATACCCAAAGTTACTGATTCTTGCATTTGGAGAAGAATTTGTCACATAAACAATAGAGGTGAGAACTTATCTGATCTAGATGATAATGGCAATATTATTTGGCTGCCAGAGAAGGATGGACATTTTTCCCTATCTTCTGCCTTTCATGAGATTAGATGGAGGAAGTCTGGTACTTTGTCTTCACGCTGCATTTGGAGTAAGGGTCTGTTTGCAACAGCTTCTGCTTTTTAAAAAGTGCTTTTTTTAATGAAATGGGGAGAAGTGATTAAATAAAAGTTGATAGTGTTTGAGAAAAAAGTGATTTTGAAAAGTAAAAGTGGGTAGTGTTTGGTAAAATAAGTGCTTTTTGTGTAATAGAAAAAGTAAAAGCACTTTTGACGCGGAAGCCGAGAAAAATAAAAGTTGTAGTGTTTGGGAAAATAAGTGTTTTTTTAAAGCCAAAAGCTGAGAAGTGCTTTTTTAAAAGGAGTTGCAAACCAACCCTAAGAGACAGACTTTACCAATTAAAATTTTTCTATGGAAGCTCATGAATAATATGGTCCCAATTGCAGAGAATCTAATCGGGTTCAAAACTATAATTTATCCTTCTATGTGCCCTTTCTGCAGGAAGAACTATGAATCTATTGATCATATCTTTTATCTTTGTCCTATTATTAAAGAGGTCTGGTTCTATTTTATGGGTATTCTGGAAATAACACTCTTGGTTTGGTATTTTTCAGTCTAATATGCCAGGAATTATTCTATGGAATATATGGAAAAATTATGCTAAATTAATTTGGGGGTCCACGAATTCTTCTCCTACAGTTGAATCCTTAATTTTTCAAATCAAATTGTTCAACCAAGATTGGTCAAAAACATTGAAGAGTAGTAAGGATGATACTGGTTTTCAGCAACTTTTGCAGGATAAAATCATCTCAGATTATTATCTAAATTCTACGATTAGGGTGAAAATGATTAAATGGGAAAGGCCAAATCACTTGCTCAAGCTTAACATGGACGCCTCCTTCAGACAAAACATCTCCAACGGTGGAGCAGTGCTGCGTAACAAAGAGGGAAAGATGCTCTTCGGGATTAGTTTTGCTCTACATGCTAACTCAGCTTTGGAAGCTGAAATTCAGGCTCTTCAGATAGCTCTTCGTTGGACGGTGGATAAAGGTTATTCGGGTTTTGAGGTGGAGACCGATTGTTTAACCTTGGTGCGGCTTTTGAACGACATCAATTACGAAGGAAGATGGAGAAGCTCTCTAGATGTGATTCGGACAGATTTAAACCAGGCGAACTACTATTTACGTCATGTCTTTAGAGAAGCTAATGTGACAGCTCACCTCCTGGCACAAAAACATCCGGATAATATGCTCCCCACTTGATCAGAAAAGCTTTAATAACTGATTTGATGGGCTTGCCTTATTTTAGATAAGTTATTTTTAGAAGGATGTAATTGTTTTATTATATTAATAATATTCGGTAGATGTTTCCCGGCAAAAAAAAAAACAAATATTGGACCAGACACAAGACTAAATTTAAACAGATCAGACTAGATCAATCATTAGATACGACCAAATCAAATCTGATTTATTAAAAACATCCTAAGTCATAATTAGTTACCTTTTACATGAATTATATTTTGACAAATATTTTTACTCCAATTATAGTATTTCTTATGAGAGAAAAACATCATGTCTAGCCGTCCGGACAGGATCCTCTGTCCGGCCGCCACCGTTAAAGCGGTTCTTGGTGGAATTTTTTGATGACATTTTTTTAGTCTGTTCTTCATGAAGTGTAGATTATGTCCACAAAGTTTTAGCTTAAAATTCAATCGAGAAGTCATTTAAATAATTTTTTGAAAAGCATTGCGCTTTTATATACTTCCTCCGTTCTTTAGTAGTTGGAACACATTGAATTTTGTACGATTCACATACCTTACTTTGACCAAGATTTTCTACTAATATATATAATCATATTATTATGTATAAAATATCATTAAATTAAATGTCTCCTAATGTGAATTCCAAAATATTGAATTTTTATAATGTTTATTAATGCGAAATTAAATATAATTAAAGTCAAAATTTTGTGTTAGCAAATGCGAAAGTCAAACTGTTGCAATTACAAAAGAATGGGGTAGTATATAGTTTGGTGCAGTTTTGTTCAATAATTTATTTAACTGGCTTGTGTATTGAATTTTGAGCTGAAAAGCTTTTATCAAAAAATTTAGGTTATGTTTGGCAAAACGAGCTGAAGGTGGAGACTAATGTCTGGATTAAGAGCTATTATCTGAATTAGAGCTATTGTCTGGAGCTGAAGTTTGAAATGTTGAATCTGAACTACGAGCTGAATAAAGTAGTCTCATTTGGAGAAAATAGCTTAGAAGGTATATGTCTGGATAATACGAAATTACATTAAAGGGCATAAAAATATGCCCTAGCTAAACCCACAATATTGGATATACCGCAAGAGTGTTTTTTAAATATGACCACTTATATGTAATTTTTTATGCAGGAACTTTAGGTGATAATTACAAAAGGAATTATAGTTTTTATGTAGCATTGTTAATAATATGTATATAAAATGGTAAGAATCACAAAATCGATATTTGCTTTGCTTACAGAAGCAAAACTTGAAGCTTTCTTAACTTAGCAAAAGGAATTGAGAACCGGTTTTGAAAACAGAATTTGCTTGGTACACTACAGCAAGCTTGGTAAGCATACTTGCAGGCTTGCAGCAGTATATTTATGAAGTGTTTGCAATTGCTTCAACTTTTAAAAAGTGATTTTTTAAAGTGATTTTGGGAAAAGTGATTAATAGTAAAAGTTGGTAGTGTTTGAGAAAAAAGTGATTCTAAAAAATTAAAAGTTGATAGTGATTGGTAAAATAAGTGCTTTTTGTGTAATAGAAAAAGTGAAAAGCAGTTTAAAGCACCTTCTACCTGCTTCCAGCTTTTAGCTTTTAAGTGATTAATTTAAGCAGAAGCTGTCATTTGAAAACACTCTTTTCAACTTTTTTAAGCCAAAAGCTGAAATGCGCTTTTTTTAAGCAACCGCAAACACTCTCTATAGTATACTTCTAGCTTAACACCATTTTCATTATATATAAGCAAGCTATTACTTCATAATCAGTATGAAATCCAAATTATAAGCAAAGCACACATAATGATTCAAAATTTAATCAACGATTGAAATCCAAATTATGTAATAGGTAAACAAAACTTCAAACCAAAGCAAAGTTAGATACTATCCAAGAATAAAAACCAAACAAAGAATTCTTGTCAAACGAATAACTGAAAATTTGTCATGGCTTTTCAATTTTCACTGACTTCAGTTTCTTATTAGACGATCCTTGTGTTGAGCCATCGTCATTAGGAGTTTATGTTCCTTCTCCAAATTTTCTACGTTGTAAAACTGAATTTGGAGTATTTAGTGCATCCTTCTCGTTGTAAGAAGTAATCTGCAATAATAAAAAAGCTCAGTTGACAATCATGTGTCAATTGCTTATCATAAACCTCAAACATTATGCATAATTTCCTTTACAATTCAAAATCACTAATAGTCTAAAATATATTATCAATCATACATAAGTATGGGTCATAAATAACTTTGACAGAACCGCTATGATAAGTTACACTCTTTAGAGAAGAATAATTAAGTTTTTCGTCATAAATTCAATCAGAAAAGTTTTTAAATGAGAGTAATTATTTGGAGTAATCTAATATAAAAGAAAACCTAAAAGAATGCTTAAAGAAGTTCTGTTACATCTGCAACCTAATAAATTTATTCACTTTTTAAATATATATATATATGGATCAGGGGAGGATTTACCTGGGACAGTTTATTTTTTCAGGTTTTGATGTAATTTTTTATATTTAATTCATTCTGAGGATGATTACTGTTCAACGCACTTCATTTTGGATTATTGGATCCCTCTTGTACTGTTGTGGAAATTTAGTAACAAACGTAATGGAAAGTATCTCTGTTGAGTGTTGTTTGAAAAGTAACAAAAGTTCAATAAACTATTGTCCAATTTTTCAGAAAAAAGGAGATCATTTTTCAAGTGTAAAAGATTTTCAACAGTAAAACCTCAAACCTTTTATCATATCCTGAATGTGGGTACTACGTATGATTAACTGAATGTCGAAAAAAAATCAAATTTGAGCTACTGCAATGAGAAGGTAGATGCATACCACATTTGAATCTACAGTAGTCGGTCCAGTTCAAATAGCAATTCGACATCTTCATCAGAATTGTAAGCCTGTTCATCTTAAGTGATTATTTTGAATGGAAATTGGAAAAATAGGAAAGTAATATATTCATTCATGTATGAATAGCTATATATATTATCTCGCCAATTAATTCTTCAGTTGTTGCATTTTTTATCTCATATATTTTTTCCTTGTTTTGTGAAACCATACTTATGACGTATATTCTTCCAGCGCTGCCAGGAACCGAATCTGCACGGTTAATTTTGAAAAGATACTCTTGTCCAACCAATTCATTTATTGCCTCAGGACAGCTTTTTGTTCTACGATTATCCTACAAAATAAGAAAATATAAGATGTTAAAGTTATAAATAACAGACAAATTAACATCACCAATAAAAATGGACTTAATTTATGGTGTACTTCCATATTAACCATCCACTACCATTGGACAATTTTCAGATTTTTAATATTACTTCTAGTGCATACTGAGATGTTACATACTACCAAAATTCATATAAATATAGATATGTAGAATAAATAAAATAAATATTGTATTTTACCGTATCTAAATGTTCACTAAAATCCCCAGCAACCTTTCCAAGCAGTTGGCGTGCTGCATCATCCCAAAACATGACATCTACAAAATGCTTTCCGTGCCTGACTTTGAGTTTCAATGTATATCGCCAGATGCCATTAGGTCTATGTATCCCACACTTTTCACAAACATAATCTTCATTCAACTTCTTAAAACACTTTAACTCGCTGCATGCATGGTAAGCCCAACCCCGTGATGAAATTATTGAATATATCTCAGCATAGAACCAACAACCACGCACCTGTCACATTTGCAAATGATATATACCAATGATCATAATGTAAAACATTAAGAGAAATTCATCTAAATAAGAATAATGAATTTGATAAATTAAGCACATAACGCTTTGCTTAAATTTAAATAATTTTTAATATGATTTAAAATTTATATAGACTTAAATTTTAGTATTTACCTCTTTCGTAATGGATAGCTCTGAAAGCGCTCTAGTGAAACCAAAATCATCAGAAGTGGAGGCGGATGCATTAGATGCGCCTGAAACTACGCTAATGGATGGCGATTGTTGTTGCATCATGATCATATAGCTTCAAGAAAGAAATCAGTTCAAAATTATCATTATCGAAATAATTCAAAGTCTAGTTTGAATGCAATTGTAAATATGTATTGCAAATTCTATTAAAAATAATATATACCGCTCTCGAAAATCATCAATATCAGGAATGTGATCATCCAACAACAATTTTGTGAAATGTAATGCTGAAGACACACCCTTTGTATCACCGGCTGCATTAAATCATGATGGTCATTTGCTTAAAAAATATAGAATCTATTTAAGACATTGGAATATAGAAAAACCACTCATCAGAAGTACCAAAACGCTTGTTTATTCGTCCCAATTGCAGGGGCACAATAACAGGATTTTGCCTGGGAACTTCTAAGAACCTCAAAAATTGAGCAGAATAATCACCCCACAATGTGCACCAAATTTTAATGTTCCTGGATGTAAATTATACACTAATGATTAAAGAACAATAAAAATATGCTTGTTAAATTATATATTTAGTAATTAAAATTCTATTAACTGTAGATTGGTTATCTGAAATCTACACCAAGATTTACTGAAGTCATCTGGTTTGAATGGAGCATCATCCGGATTGTATGCACCCATGACATCTACAAAAACGATCAAATTGTTAAGTGCAGATTATATGAAAATTGTAAAGATGTTGAAAATCTATCTAATACAATTGTTGTGACTAATACATACCCAACAAATTAGCACCCACTACATCGGGGCCATTAATAATATCAGAAAACTCTGTGATTTTATAGACGCTTTGCCTGAAGTAGTCATGCTTCTTATCTTCTTGGTAAGCGATTTTTGTATTATCTGTGAAGAACAAACGATATGGGTGGGGAGTTGGCCTCCAATTGCCCTGATTTTCTTTTACTTCAAAGTTCTTAATTGCATACAATTTTCCTTATTCGAATTTATCTTCAAGCTGCGGAATCAACTGGAGCGGAATTGTGGCTTGGATAAATGTACCCTACATTTGAATTAGGTGTCAGCTTTATAAACAAATTATATAATAGCTTACAATGCCAGAAAATGTAAATTATCTTTGAGAACACACTTTCGATGTCAAACATAATAGTTAAACAAATATAAATACATATTAGAGATTGACAGTTAAGTACTCTTGGTAGCTTCTACTTTGAAATTAGAACACAAATAAGCTACACAGATGATTCTGCTGGAATGAAGTGGTAGTAACTAAACATTTCCCATCCCTACATCTTATTATATACAACAAATAATGAAAAGAGATCTTATCTTTCATCAATAATAAGATATACAGGAAAGTGATGAATAAATGTACCCCAGAAAAGAAAAAAATCAGGAAAGTAGTGAAGAAAAGCAGAAAAAAAATATATCTTATGTGATAAAGATGTATTTTTTTCTTAATCTGTACTTTTAACACAATTGATAAAACTTGAATTATCTGCACTTAGAAAATTCCAACCATTGAGATACAGAGTGAGATCTATAAGGACTGCTATAATAATAACGATATCACATTTTCTTTGCAAGCTGCATTTACCACCTGCATTTCTTTGCAAACTGCTATAATAATTGTGAGTTGGTATTGGCCCCATTCATTTATTAGTCCTCTTGTCTTGTTTGGACTCTGCCCTGACCAACCCACTTGCCCATTTGTCCTTACCCAGCCCACTTGCCTTCTTTGTTTAGCCGGCCCGTGACTCCTGCTGATGGCCCCCTTTATCTTTGTCCCGATCCTTCTGGATCCTTGTATTTGACTCCCTCTCCTTCCCTCTATTCCGATGAGTCGTTCTGAGTGTTGCCCTAGTTCTAGAGTGAGAGAGTTTGGGAACAGTGCAGGTTTTGAGCTCCGGCCAACCTTTGACTGTCTCCGGGGATGCCTTAGGGTGCTTCACTCTGGTCTAGTGGGTTGGGGGGTTCTCCGGTTGGTCCTATTTCTATGAGGTTTGAGTGTAGTGGCTGTTGCCCTTACCTTTTCCCTTTGAAGCCCTCTGGTGGTTGGATGACGAGCAACCTTTGTGGTTTAGTGATTGAGGTCTGAGCCGGTCTTAAAGACTCTACAGTGGTATCAGAGCTGCGGACGCTGCCTCTCCTCGTCGGAATCCTGCCGGAAGTCCTCCCGCCTGGTAACGCCGCGACTCCGGAGCCTTCCGCTGCATTGGTAAGTCGGATAGTCCCACCTGGACTTCCGCTCAGGTATAAACGCTCGACCCTGACTCTTGGGCTGCCGGAGTGCCACCGGTATCTGTGTTGCTTGGGTTAATCTGTAACCCTAGGTTACTGATTCACCGGTTAGACACCCTAGAACCATTGTTGCATGTGCAGAATCTGTCTAGCCAGATCTGCAGAAACCCTAGGTTTAAGGTCTTGTGCATGGGTGGTACCAATCCGTGTCGTACTTGGACCACCATTATCTTTGTGATTGCTTGAAGTGTCTTTGTGATCTGCTTATTCATCTGTGTGATCTTTGGTTTATTTATCCCTCTGTATATCTTTCTTGTCTGGCCTTTATCTGTTTCCATTCTGTTCCTTTACCTGTGTTGGTTTCTGATCCTTGGTAATACTGTGGCACCAAAACCTAGTTGGGTTAGGCACTTGAGGTTAGGGCTAGGGGATTCCCTGCCAGCCACCTCAGTGGCCCCGGATCTGCGTGGTCCCTTAGTCCGCAGCCTAACCAGCTAGGGCTAGGCCTTGTATTAATCTAGGCTCAGTTACCATGTCTTCCAATGTGTATGGCATGCTTCCTTTCAATGGTAAAACTGACTTTGATATATGCAAACAGAAAATCAAGTGTGTGTTGATCCAGCAAAAGGTCTATAGGGCTGTAACTGATAAGTATTTAGATACTGAGGATAAACCCAAGCAATTAGAAATGAATGAAACTGCCTGCTCCACAATTTACTTAAACCTCTCTGACTCAGTCCTTAGGAAGGTTGGAATCATAGAATCTGCTAAGGCTTTATGGGATAAACTGGAATCCCTGTACACTGACACATCTTTACCAGGAAAACTGTTTTTACTTGAAAAGTTCTTTAGGTTTAGGCTTGACCTAACTAAAGACATTGATGAAAACCTTGATATTTTCAATAAGTTGATTCATAATATCAAGCTGTCTGATGATAAGCATATAGATGAGTACACCCCTATTATTTTACTCAATGTTATCCCTGATTCTTACAATGATGTCAAGTCTGCCATAAAGTATGGCAGAGATGACATTACTCTAGATACTGTCATAAATGGTTTAAAAAGCAAGGAGCTTGATCTGAAACAGTCTAGGGGCCATAGTAACCATTCTAGAGATACTGGGGAAGCTTTCTTTGTCAGGGGTAGGTCTAAAAGTAGGTCCAGATACCCTAAGAAAGATAACCTAGATAAAAACAGTAGAAATCCAGGTAAGAAGAGGTATAAGAGTAAGAAGAGGGTGTGTTATAACTGTGGGAATCCAGGTCATTTCATTAAGGACTGTACCTTACGTAAAAGGAATGAACAAGCTAACTCTGTGACCAATAATGAAGTTGTTGGTGAAGTCTTTATGGTTTGTGACCATGCTAATTCTGTCTTAGGCAGTTTGACTGAAACTGAATGGTTGATAGATTCAGGTTGCACTTACCATATGACCCCTTTTAGAACCCTGTTTGCCTCTTACAATGTTTGTGACACTGGTTATGTGTCCTTAGCTGACAATAAGAAGTGTAGGGTGCATGGAATTGGTGATATTTGCTTAAAGTTTGATAATGGAACTGTTTTTACAATTAAAAATGTTAGACATGTCCCTGATCTTAGGCATAATCTATTTTCTGTTGCTGCATTTGAAGAATGTGGGCTTGATGGTAAATGGGGTAATGGGTGCATGAAAATCCTTAAAAACTCTTTGGTTGTTTTTAAAGCTTTGAAAGAAAACAATCTTTATGTGGTGCATGCAAAACCTTTTTCTGATTCTGTCAACTCTGTGCATTCTGATAAGTCTGCCCTTTGGCATCATAGACTTGGGCACATGAGTAATAAGGGTATGAGCATTTTACAAAAATCTGGAGCTTTTGGAAATGATTCTGTGTCCCCTATTCCATTTTGTGAAAGTTGTGTGTTGGGAAAGCAGCATAGGGTTAAGTTCCATTCCTCTGTCAACCCAAATGAACCCAAATCCAAGTCTGTCCTTGAGTACATACATGCAGATGTATGGGGTCCTTCCAGTGTCCCTACCCATGGGGGTAGGAGGTATTTCTTGTCTATCATTGATGATTTTTCTAGAAAAGTCTGGGTTTTTCTACTTGAACAAAAATCTGATGTTTTTGTTAAATTTAAGGAATGGAAAGACTTGATAGAAAACCAAACTGGCTGTAGAATTAAAACTCTTAGGACTGACAATGGTTTAGAATTCTGTAACAAGGACATGGATAGGTTGTGTGTTGAGTGGGGGATTAGAAGGCACAAAACTGTGCCCTATACTCCCCAACAAAATGGTATAGCTGAAAGGATGAATAGGACACTCCTTGATAAAGTCAGGAGTATGCTTTCTACCTCTGGCCTCCCCAAGAAGTTTTGGGGAGAAGCTGTGAACACTGCCTCCTACCTAATCAATAGGTCTCCATCTGTACCCTTAGGGGGAAAATGTCCTGAGTCTGTTTTTTCTGAAAAACCTATTGATCTGTCAAACTTAAGGGTTTTTGGGTGTTCTGCCTATGTCCACCAACAAACTGATAAACTTGAACCTAGATCTAAAAAAGGGGTTTTTCTGGGATATCCTGAAGGTGTTAAAGGGTATAGAGTTTGGGATAGAAATCAAATTGGTTTTAAGGTCATTATCAGTAGGAATGTTGTCTTTAATGAGTCTTACTTCCCTTGTCTAAGTCAGCCTGTTCATCAGCCTGATCCTGAGTCTAGGAAGTCTCCCAGTGAGGTGGAGCCTATCCCTAATGCTGCTGACCCTTTGTGTGTTGATTTATACAATTATGATGACTCTGATTGTCATGACATTTCCCAAACTGTCCCTGAAAATCCCTCTACCTCAAATGAGGTGGAGCCTTCTAGTGAGCCTGAAAATAATGAGATGTTGCATGATACTGTGATTAATTCTGACTCTAATGACAGTAGTGAACTGGAGGAGATCAATGTTGAACCTGTCACTCTGAATAATTATCAATTGGCTAGGGATAGAAGTAGAAGAACAGTTAGGAAAATCTCTAAAAGCATGACTGATTTTGCCTTTCATATCTGTGATACTTCTCTATTTGCCTTCTCTGTGTTTGAAACCCTAGACCTAAATGAACCTAAGTCTTATAAGGAAGCCCTAGCCTCTAAGGAATCTCAGAAATGGCAGAGTGCCATGAGAAGTGAAATTGAATCTCTTATGTTAAATAAGACTTGGACCCTTGTACCCAGACCACCTAATACCTCTGTGGTAGAATGTAAGTGGCTTTATAAGGTTAAAGAAGAACCCAATGATGTTAGATTCAAAGCTAGGTTAGTTGCTAAGGGTTTCACCCAAAAAGAATGGGTTGATTATTCTGAGATATTTGCTCCTGTAGTTAAGTTCACTACTATTAGAATGATGTTGGCCCTTGTTGCTCACAACAACTGGGAAATGAAGCAGATGGATGTCACCACTGCATTTTTGCATGGTGACTTAGATAAGAAGATTTTCATGACTCAACCTGAAGGGTTTGTTGACCCTAAGAATAGTGAGTATGTCTGTCTCCTTAGGAAAGATCTGTATGGTCTAAAGCAGTCTCCTAGACAGTGGAACATTAAGTTTGACCAATGCATGTCTTCCTTGAAATTCAGGAAATCTGTTTCTGATCATTGTTTGTATTTTAAGAATGCTGCAACTATTCCTGTTTTCTTGCTCATTTATGTTGATGATATGCTGCTCATTAGTCCTTCCCTTAATGCTATTAAACATGTTCAAAAATGCTTAAGTGATAATTTTGCTATGAAAGATCTTGGTGATGCAAAACGTATCCTTGGCATTAACATAATAAGGGATAGAAGTAAGTGTACTCTCATTCTGAATCAGGTCTCTTATCTTGAAAAGGTATTATGTAAGTTCAAAATGAATTCTGCCACTCCTGTTAATATTCCTTTGGCCTCTCACTTTATCTTAAGTAAGGATCAGTCCCCAAAGACTGATCCTGAAATTGAAAGCATGAGAGCTGTCCCCTATTCAAGTGCAATAGGGTCAGTTATGTACTTGATGGTTAGCACTAGGCCAGACATAGCCTATGCTGTTAGCTGCCTGAGTAGGTACATGGCAAACCCCGGGCTTCCACACTGGAATGCCCTGAAATGGTTGTTAAGGTACCTCAAGGGTACCATTAACCATGGTCTGACTTTCTCTCATACTCCTGCTGGTAGTTCTGTAACTGGATTTGTGGATTCCAACTATGCTAATGATAGGGATAATAGAAAGTCTACTACCTCCTATATTTTCACACTTTGTGGATCTTGCATAAGTTGGAAATCTCAACTGCAGCCTATTGTAGCTCTTTCAACTACTGAATCTGAATACGTTGCAGCCACTGAAGCCTTTAAGGAGGCCATTTGGCTGAAACGTATCCTAACTGAAATTGGTTTTCTTAGACAGGTTGTGACAGTTTACTCTGATAGCCAATCAGCTATCCAGTTATGCAAAAATCCGGTGTTCCATGATCGGACCAAGCATATTGATGTCAGATTCCATTTTATCAGGGATATTGTTGACAAAGGAGAAGTGAAGCTCTGCAAGATAGCCTCGGAGTTTAACCCATCTGATATGGGAACTAAATGTCTTTCTTATGAAAAACTAGTGTCTTGCAAACGGACCCTTAACATTGATAGTGGCTAGATAAGAACAGATACACTTTTCACCGGCGATGATGATACTCCCTTTCACAAAATGCTCGACACCACCAGGGGCCAATAAGGTGGAGAATGTGAGTTGGTATTGGCCCCATTCATTTATTAGTCCTCTTGTCTTGTTTGGACTCTGCCCTGACCAACCCACTTGCCCATTTGTCCTTACCCAGCCCACTTGCCTTCTTTGTTTAGCCGGCCCGTGACTCCTGCTGATGGCCCCCTTTATCTTTGTCCCGATCCTTCTGGATCCTTGTATTTGACTCCCTCTCCTTCCCTCTATTCCGATGAGTCGTTCTGAGTGTTGCCCTAGTTCTAGAGTGAGAGAGTTTGGGAACAGTGCAGGTTTTGAGCTCCGGCCAACCTTTGACTGTCTCCGGGGATGCCTTAGGGTGCTTCACTCTGGTCTAGTGGGTTGGGGGGTTCTCCGGTTGGTCCTATTTCTGTGAGGTTTGAGTGCAGTGGCTGTTGCCCTTACCTTTTCCCTTTGAAGCCCTCTGGTGGTTGGATGACGAGCAACCTTCGTGGTTTAGTGATTGAGGTCTGAGTCGGTCCTAAAGACTCTACAATAATAAAGATATCGCATTATTCAGTTTTAAAAATGGCAATTTTTAAAACTACTATAATAATAAAGATATCGCATTATCGCATTTACCACCTGTATCATAGTCTGATTGTTTAGTGAAGTCAATTTGCACTTTTTCGGATGCACGAGGCAAATTCAAAAACTTTTTTCTTGAAAGACGGGTGCTAGCAGTGACCAAAGGGTTTTCTTGAATCACCATTTTGAGCAGTGAAGGTGACCTGGAGAGTATTTCTTTCGCAACAGCCATTTCCAACTTGCATCCTTTGAACATTTCAATTTTCACAGTCTCAAGCATGTCCAGATCCTCTCTAATAAAGTAACTTGCTGAACCATCCAATAGTTTTGAACTGCGGCAAGGACACTAAAAGAAAGCAACCACCCACACAAAGACACTAAAATCAGAAGAAGTGCAAGAAAACTTATAATATCAAGATGTTTGCTTGATGTACACATTTTTTGACGAATTGTATGTTGATAGGCAAAAAGTGTATAAACAGATGTCTCCTAACATCAACTCCCAAACAGTTTGATCACTTGCCTTCGAATATGATGCTCTCATAAACGACTTTAAGCATAATGCCACATCTTCACACTAGAAAATAAAAGCACGCGTTTGGCATTAGACATAAATATTGAAATATAAGTAAGAACAGATAAATCAAAGGACATATTCTCACCAAGATCATATGGACAGACAAGCAGAGAGACTTTATTGATTTCAAATGAGGCATAAACCATCTCCTTTCGACCTTTTCTTTGGCAAACCCAGTGACAGACAAACTTGTAAGGTTTGGAGCATTGATCTGAAAGGAATTGATCCCTTCACACCAATAAAACGAAAGCTTCTCAAGCTTAGGAGCAACAGAGGGAACAGAGCCCTCAACTTTACCTTGAAACTTAACTTCATTGAAAACCAAAGATCTGATGTTGTGGATTAAACAGCCAGAGTTAACCAGCAGGGCGCAATCCAAATCGAAGCGGCTGAGTTCGAGATGGCGAATTGTCGCGCACGAGAAGACACAGATGGGCAGCTTCAGACCCGCTCGAACCGATATGTTCAGATCCACAATACCATTTTCAGATAGATATAGGCACCACTCGTGAAGCTCAGATTGCTGCAGCCCTTCGGAGTCGATTGAACTCATTCGCACACTGAATTTCTTCACGGGAGTTATTACTTCGGCTGCATTGTTCTGAGCGTGCCGGAAGAAGCTTTCACCAAACAATAGCGATTTGAGCTGCAGCCATACATCCTTCCACTGGGTTGAAAGCACAGAGGTTCTGGCGGCATCTCGAGTGCAATCCAAACACTCCAAAATTCTGTGTTTTAGATCAGTTGGGAGTGCACTAATGAAATCTTTTCTTTCATCTTCCGATGCGGAACCGCTACCACCACAATCCGCCATTAGAACAGATTAGTCACGACAACTGGACACGGAGTCTATATCTTTTATGCTCCTTGTATATATAATTGGCTTACACGTTCATCAAATAATTGTTGAATTTTGAGATGCTCCGGATTCCGGAAAGCGCAACAGTTTGTGTTTTTGAAAGAAGGCGCAACAATTCGTTGATTATTTCACAGTAATGCTCGTAAGAGAGAAATATGAAGTGATAAGTGACGAAAGAACGGAATAGACACAGACAGAGATGAAACCTTTAAATATACTCGCAGGAAAGATCCATCTAAATTGATTAGTCAGTCTCAGCACACTTAATTAAATACGGTACAGAAATTAAGCGACATTTAATATGTAATCGTTTTATTTGGTAACATTAATTTAAATAAAACGGTCCAAAATTCGTTGAAAAAAACGTTATCTTTTAAAAAAATGTGTACATATGTATACGTGTATGATATGGTATCTCTTCCAAAAATTCGGACAAAAATACGGGGTGTTATTTTGAACATTTCAATTATATACTTCACAATTATATACTACCTCCGTCCCAAAATTAACTTCCCGTTCGGTTTACAATGCTTGACTGACGATAAAGCAACTCGATCCCTGCTCACACTCAGATTATTTTTAGTAAATAAAATTTACATATTCAGAAACTACATTAAAACCGCTACAAAGCCTGATCAATAAAATTTAAATTTGATAAAATTTTGATATAAAAAGTAAAAGATTACGAGTGATTCAAGTTAACCAATGAATAGTGACTGGGAAGTTGTTTTTGGGACGCAGGGAGTATATAGTAAAAAAGAAATAAAAGTATACAAATATTCAAGTAGAATATTTCATTACTGCATAAATGAATAATTCGTAATTCCATAAGTCAATGGCAAAAATAAAAAAAGTAATAAAGTCCAAGACATAATTTTGCAATCTAACGTCAACAAATAAGACATAATAACAATAGAATGAGACTAATAACAATAAGACATAATAACAATAGAATAAGACATAAGTTAAAACCATTATCTTTATACGTCTTTTTTTGACAACATAATGATCATTATCTTTATATGATCATCAAATAACACTTAATTTAAACTCATCATTTTCATCAAAATGATGATGACATATGAGAAACGTTGTGTGATTGTTACACGTGTGTGCTTATTATTGTTTACATGTAAAAGTTTATACTAAAAAATGTCAGATTTATAAAAACTTTAATTTTGATATGCTGGTTTGAAAAAACATGAGAAATCTAGTAGTATTTTAAGTTTTAGTCTTTTGTTTTAGTTGTTATGCAATTAATTTTAGTATTTAATAATTGTATTGTAACAATACAAATACATGGGGTCACAAGAAGGGGCATTTTTTCTTTAAAACTATTGTTGATCTCTTATGCATTCATTCAATTGATCGATTCATATTTTTATTTTTTGTAAAATAAAGGAGCTAGTCATAGTTGTCATGCCATTAATTTTAGTATTTAGTAATTATATTGTAACAACACAAAAACATGGGGTCATAGGGAAGAGCTTTTCTTTTTTGCTTTTAAACTATTGTTGATCTCCTATGTATTTATTGTGTTTATTGCGTTCATTCAGTTGATCAATTCATGTTTCTATTTTTTGTAAAATACGGGAAAATACGTTTTATACGGGAAGTAAGAGTATTTTTCCTTTTTAAACGGACCGACATTATATTTCGTTTTACACTTGTGTTGGTCCCAATTTCTACTCTATAATATATAAGATCTGATTAATAGGAGTAGAAGAAGCTTTCCATTGATAGCCAGAAAGTTTACACAAAGATGGTGAGAAATGTTAGCGTAAAACTTCCGTAGGCTCTATTCTATGCGCAGGGAATATTTCTGAGTGAGGAAAACTTAACCTAGCCATTCCTAAGGGGTCTATTTATAGCCTCCTTAGAATGGTAGGGTTTACAATGATATGGGCTCTCCTTTTTAGGAGGCCCATTCCTAATTTAGCTTAGTAGCCTTTTCCATTTAAGGCCTATTAAATACACAATAAATACTACCAAGAGGCTAGATAAAATACATTGATCACAATACTAAAAATATCTCTAACATTCTCCCCCTTTGTGATCAAATGTCCGTTGTTGGCTCTTGTGGATTCTTCTGCCTCTTGTAGTAGTTGCTTTGTAGTGCTAGAGCATGTTCATATTGGTGCAGCATTCTCCTCTTTTCGAGTCGAGCATTGATTGCGTCTAGCACCGCTTTAGTCGATCAAATTCTTTCAGTTCAGCTTCTTTTGTCTTCTTGGAAAGGCTTCATGAAGAAATCCTTACAATCTCCCCCTTGGTGTTATTCATTCAATTCGTTCTTTGATGCCGGGGGTTGAGGGATTCTTCAAAATCTTGCTTTTAATCCTTGCCTTTCAGAAGTTTCTCTTGATCAGCTTGAATGAATCCGATGGCGCCTTTAGAATGATTGTTCTGAAGAAATCTAGGCGTATAAGGGATTCATCTTCAGTATTTGATCATCCGACCTCTGTATCCTCCAGAATGTAGCCTTTTCTGACTATTCGGTTGTGAATGCTTTTGAGGAACAGTTGTCGGTGGCACAGCGGAAAATGATGGTTGACTTGTGAGCATGGATGACCTTTAGATTTGAGGCTGACTTGGCAGTTGATGAACATGAGAGAGTAGAGAGCCATTGTTTTTGAGCTGGAGGAGAGAAGTGTCCGAGAATGATTTTTGAGAGTAAATAGCGTGTGGACCACTCTCCCCCTTTATGACAATCCAATGAATCGAGATGTCTTGCCTTTATTCTTTTATTCTGGAAAACTGAAAATGCAAAAAAAATGAAAAGATAAGAACCGGAGACACTGTGGTGTTCCGTTGACACAACATCAGTGTAAACATTGATGTGTGGCCTGTATATAATGATAGAAACGTTGTAGCTCTAACAGGACTTCCAACCAATCATTGTGAAACATCTGAAGTAGATGTCACTCTGGTCGTTATGGCATGATCACTAGGATCAGCATGGATAATTGTAGCCCCCCGGGATCATGTAGACACCCGTTATCATCACTATAGAGATGAACTCTAAATGATGGCCTGAAAATGTTGGTGATTTCTATGTTGCAACATCAGGACTTCCATCCAATCATCGGTCTGCATCTATAGAAGATGAGCCTATGGAAGTTCTCGCATGGTCACTTGGACCTGCAACTGACTCTAAAAATGTGTCTGTGTCCTAGAAAATTCAAAACATTTAAGAGTGAGATAGCTAGACACAACGTGATCAATGAAAGTTCAGTGGCATGGGGCTGAGGGCCACTGTGGTCAGTATCAGTCGCCTCAGAAGGAGACGGTGATTGTAACACCCCGGCCCCACCGGACCCGAGGTAGTTACTCCGGACCAATAGTACTGTCCCCACAAACCACCACGAGCCTTTACCGCGCACTTTGTCCTCACTCATGCGCGCCCTGAGAAACTTCCCAGGGGGTCACCCATCCCAAGACTACTCCCGTGCAGGCACGCTTAACTTTGGAGTTCTTGGGTGATGAGCTCCCTTAAAAGGAGATGCACCTCTGTTGGTATGAGTAGTACTATTAATCCTCTTATATTAATCTCGGGTATTACCAATCACCCCCACTTAGGATCGCAACGTCCTCGTTGCGCCTTAAACCAATCTCAATCAAACTCCAGAATCCTTTCCCCTGCTAAGTGTCGCCCGATATCTAACGGGTCAGCGCACTGTCGCAGGGTTGCTCTGATACCACCTGTAACACCCCGGCCCCACCGGACCCGAGGTAGTTACTCCGGACCAATAGTACTGTCCCCACAAACCACCACGAGCCTTTACCGCGCACTTTGTCCTCACTCATGCGCGCCCTGAGAAACTTCCCAGGGGGTCACCCATCCCAAGACTACTCCCGTGCAAGCACGCTTAACTTTGGAGTTCTTGGGTGATGAGCTCCCTTAAAAGGAGATGCACCTCTGTTGGAATTAAATAAACTATTGAACTAATTAAATTTGTTATTGAGATTAGATTATCATTAATGATTATTATTTCGAATTATTGCTTACGTCAAATTATTATTAAAAGGTTTATTAAATAAATTATATAAATTATGTAAACTGAATTTTATACTGAAATTGTTTATTTAAATTCGAAAAAATGAAATTATTATGTAGTTAATATAATTAGACTAGTTAACTAATTAATCAAATAAATTAAAGTAAATTATGGAGGGATTAGTATGATTAAAGAAAATAAGGTTGGACTAAAAATTAACATTTTAAATAAGGTTTATGAATCTAACTTAATAGTTATATTTAAAGAAGGAATTATGAAATTAAAATAATTAACGGTTGGATAGATAGGAGATAACAAAAGTAATAGAGTAGTTATTGATTTAGAATTTTGATATATATTAGAAGGAGGATTCAAGTGAAGACCAAGCTAGAGACTTTATTAAAAGGATTATCGCAATTTAAGGTAAGTTCTATGTCAACCAAAATGTTTTGCCTCGTACTTATATGTATGCAATATTTGCACTATGTGAATTATTTATGAATTGGAAATTATATGTTTGACATGGATCGAATATTTTGACTATATGAATATTGGTGGATTATTACCTTTTATGGATGATTAAATGTATATTCTTTTTATTAAAGAATATTGGTGGATTTATATTTATTACAAAGGATATTTTGAGAAAATGTGACAAGAATGATTTGGGGAAAACTTAAAGTTTTCATAATATATATTCTTACGTCTCGAGAGAAACACGAGGCGTGGGTGGTTAGGGCTACTACTACTTTTGGTGAAATTTATTTGGGTCGGTAACCAGTCCGGCAATGACATACTCCGGTAGACATCCCGGGCTTTTATTTGAGGATCAAAGATCCTTTGGTGGTCGTAGTAGTAGTTACCTAATTTACCCTTGGACAATGTCCCTTGTGAGTAGGTGGTAGAAAACATCCTGCCTACTTGGGTTTCTTACTACTCGGAGGGCTTGGAATCCCTTTTAGAGGGTGTGCACACTTAAGGTAGAAATTCAGCTTCCAATTGGTGGTCGGTGGGAGCCGGAATTCCGGGATGATTCGTAGATAACAACGACTCATTGGGCTCGAGGAATCTTGAGTTTCGTCCACTCTTAAAAGAATCTAAAGCATTACTTTTGGAGGAATTGAAGGATGATATTATCTATTTTGGAAATTATTTTATGACCTTAAACCATTTTGGAAATATGAGAGACTACTTTTCAATATATATACATATACAAAAACCTATTTTCCAAATTATATTATTTTACGGGTTCGGGTGGAATCTTACTTAGCTCTAAAGCTAATTTTTGTCTCTTTTCTCTTTTTCTCTTTGCTCTATTGTACAGATGATTATGATTATGAAGATTGATGTACTTGCTGCCCGAGTGTTCCGCTAGTTGC